ACTTAGACTACTAGAGGACAAACTGACCTCATCTCCTTAAATGAATTGTTAAAATTGAACAGTTTTCATTTGATACTATTTCTATCTTAACATGTGATTCTTGACCTGCCATTGTGTATCTATTCCTACCAAACCCAGCTGGTGGAAGCAGATGATCCTCTTGTCCTGATCCTGGTTCTGCTAAAGGTTTCTTCCTCATGAGGGAGTTTTTCTTTCCACTGTCGCCTTCATGCTTGTTCAAGATGAGAGTTCAGTGATGGAGTTAAACTCAAAGCTGCTCCTCAGATAAATAATGTTCAATTATTATTTTATACATGAATGTTTCTGTTCAATTATTATTTTATAGATGAATGTTCCTGTTAAATTATTATTTTATACATGAATGTTTCTGTTCAATTATTATTTTATACATGAAAGTTTCTGTTCAATTATTATTTTATACATGAAAGTTTCTGTTCAATTATTATTTTATACATGAATGTTTCTGTTCAATTATTATTTTATACATGAATGTTTCTGTTCAATTATTATTTTATAGATGAATGTTCCTGTTAAATTATTATTTTATACATGAATGTTTCTGCTCAGTGTCTGAGACGACTTCTGTTGTCACTTGGAGCTTTAGAAATAAACTGAACTGAATTGAACTTTTATCCAGTTCCTCATCATTTGAGGACAATACTTTCTAGTTTTTATTTTGCTTAAAAGTTTAGTTTCTTCAAATGATTGGGGTGGCCAATATTAATCTGTGGGGGTCAAGACCACCATTGGCCACCCCCTGGCTCCTCAGTGCACCTGGTGCATAAAATGTCCCCCTTGACTCTCCAGGATCCGTCACGCTGCGTTGCCTCAAACAAGAAAAAATCAAAAAAGACCTTCCTCTGTTCTTCTCCACAGTGTAACTCCTCCCCACTTGAATATTTTGCATCAAAAACATTTAGGTCTACTTTAATTCTGTGTTCAGTTCCAGTCCAGAAAAACAGTCATTACCAAAACTACAAACATTCACTATTCAAACCTTTCAGTGTCAGTAGACATTGGTGTACCACTAGTCATGTTTAAAATTAAAACAACAACCACATGTGAGAATGTCCTCAGATGCTTTTTAAGATCTGTTCGACTGACATTCTTACAGTTTGGTTTGTTTCTTTGGAAAAGGTCAGAACACCAAAAGAAGGTCGTCTCAAGGACTTTCAGTGATCGGTGGGATTAAAAACAACATGCAGCGCAGAAAACAACATCCATCCATTATCTTTACCCGCTTATTCCATTTTGGGTCACGGGGGTCGCCGGTGCCCATGTCCAGCAATCACTGTGCGAGGGGCGGGGGACACCCTGGACAGGTCTCCAGTCCATCACAGGGACACATGGGGACAAACTACCATTCTCTCTCCCACCTTGGGACAATTTAGAGTTACCAGTCCCGATCAGTCTAACATGTTTTTGGTCTGTGGGAGGAAACTGGAGTACCCGGAGAAAACCCACACATGCACGGAGAGAACATGCAAACTCCACCCAGAAAGGTCCCAGCCGGGATTTGAACCAGGGACCTGCTCGCTGAGAGGCAGCATGCAGAAGAGAAAATGGTTTTGTGTCGAGAACATGAAGAAATGACAGAAGCTTCTCTGGAAGGAATGCTCCTCACCCGTCACCTTACAGGACAAAGTTCTGCATAAAGATGTTGACCTGTTTGAGCTCAGGGTGTGTGCTGGGGATCATTCTTAGCTACTACCACAAACATTTAGCTCACTATCTGTAAAACGGGCCAAACTCTAGCCATGGTTTTGTTTTCTATCACTGATTCTCTGTGGCGGCAGGAGGTAAAAACACTTATTATTAAGTGCAGGGATTCCACGGGTTGCCCTGCAGCTAAAGCTTCCTGTGTGGAAGAAGACGAGCTGTCCTGAGATCTGATCTGAGATCTGTTGTAATGTAACGGCAGCAGCCCATCAATCCCTCAGCACCCCCGTCCTGATGTTTGATACACGTGTTGTAGTTTTCCACTGACATAATGAGAGGCTCAGACGACTCGGCCCACGGCGGCCTGACAATAGGACTTAATGCTGCTGAATTAGACGGTTCTGGTGCCGGTGTCAGGCCCGTCAGCCCCGCATGCTGGGACCTGCTCACAGCATCACTCAGCTGCTATTTGTTTGTCTGAACATGAACCAGATGTGCAGAACAGCAGCCGATCTGGAGGTGGCGGCGCACACATTACCATCATCTCGGAGCATGCGTCACTAGAAGGACATGTTTCATTGACCCCTCCACTTCCTTCTGCTAGTTTTAGCTTCTTTCGGCCTTTTCAGCTGTTTTTTAAGCTAATTTCAGCTTTTTCCAGATAATTTTCCCTTTTGTGCTCATGTCTGTTTTGTTTTTTGTTTTCAACCTAATTGGGCAAAGTTGTGCTCTCCCCAATGCCTTCTGCTAATTTAAGCTTGTTCTATGATTTCAGCTAATATTTTAGCATTTTTAGCTCATTTAATCGGTTTTCTGATAAATTAAAGTCTAATTAACGTCTTTCTGCGTATTTTAGCTTGTTATGCTCCTGTCAGTGTATTTCTACTTGTTTCAGCTTTTTCTACTATTTCAGCTACTGTTTAGCCATTTTTTACGCTAAATTTAGCTTTTTCAGCCAATTCCACTATTAATTTATTTTTTTAGCTTATTTCATTTCAGCTCCTTCCACTTCCTTCTGGTAGTTTAAGCTTTTTTCTGCCTATTTGGCTACTTTTTAGATGTTTGTTTGTTGTTTTTTGTTTTTTGCTAATTTCAGCTGTTTTAGCTCGTTTCCTATTTCTTGTGCTCCTTTCTGCTTATTTAAACTTAATTCAGAAAACATGTGTTCTTCCTGCTTTCTTCTGCTAACGTAGGCTTGTTTTTCCACTTCAGCTACATTTCAGCACGTTTTTAGCTAATTTCAGCTGTTTTTTTAGCTAATTTCAGCTGTTTTTTAGCTAATTTCAGCTGTTTTTTTTAGCTAATTTCAGCTGTTTTTAGCTAATTTCAGCAGTTTTTTAGCTAATTTCAGCTGTTTTTTAGCTAATTTCAGCTGTTTTTTTAGCAAGTTCTTCAGCAATGAACATTCGCACTGCCTTTTCCCAGGAAATGCAGTTTCTCTAGTTAGCTGCAGCGCCGTCATTTCTCAACATATTGTAAAATAATCTTGTCCTAATACTCTGGCCTGACAAACCGTGCACGGTGTGATTTGTCTGAGAAGCACCATCGGCTGTTCCTTTTTGTTTGAGGTACTAGACGAGACTAGACTCGCGTATAAACAATCAGCACAATTAGCAGCCAAAGTTGCAGGAAATCTGCTGCTGCTTTTAAAAGCTGTTGTGGATTTAGCTGTCAGAGGATTTTCCTCTGCCTCTCCAGGACAGATGTGCACCAGCTGCTTCCAGAGACGTTAGTAAAGTGTGCACACTCACAACCACGGCAAAATGAGCTGAAAGGTAGATAGCAATCGTTAAAATTAGCACAACACAAGAGCTGAGTGTCTTTTCCAAATCCTTGTTACCGCAGGTGCCGCAGGTCGTGTCCCACGTGTTTGAGCCTGTGTGAGTCTGGATGTAGTCCTGCACCGAACCAGAATCAGAATATTATCCTCCTGTCAGGTCTTGTTCTTCTCATTTCACCCAGCTGATCTGATGAAGATTAAACGGAGAATAAGATCCTGATCCATGTTTCAGTGTTCCTGTTCACACGTGACGGCAGAGCTGCACAGATGCTGCAGCTGATTACAGAGAGAATACGAATGTGTAGGAAAAAGCTGGACTGATGAGCTCATTTTGAAGATGCTGGAAGTAAAGAAGTTTTCTGTTTATAAAGACCGTGACTTGATGAGAACATCTGATGGAGACACCATGAACGGATCAAAGCCTGTATCGTTTCATTTTGATGGGTCAGATATGTTGAATACATCTTGCAGCCGGTGTGAAGCAGCGCTCTCCAAATCTTTGTACATCACAAACTTATTTCAGACTCACTGAGAAAAAAATGTTTCCAGGGAAACTGTTTTTTTTTTACTAGCTTGTTGTCTTGTTACGGCTAGCTGAGAGGTTAGCTTGTTGTTCTGCTTCTTGTTGTTGTTGCTTTTGTTGTTCTTGTCCTTCTTGTTCTTTTTCTTCTGGCTTTGCCCTCATCACGGTCTCCACAGTGAGTCGTCTTCCTCCATCTCACTCTGTCCTCTGTGTCCTCTGTCCTCACTCCAACTACCTCCATGTCCTCTAACTGCATCCATATGTCTCCTCTTTGTCTTTTTCCTGCAGCTGAATTTCTAACATCCTTCTACCAATATACCCACTGTCCCTCCTCTGGACATGTCCAAACCACTGTCCCTCCTCTGGACATGTCCAAACCAC